TCAAGAATTTGAAAAACACCAACAAGATTGTTTTTGTTTCTTTTTTACTCCAAATGACTCACAGAAGTTCAAAAGCAACTCATGGTCAAACACAACTCCAAATTTCAAAAATCGTTTTTCACTTTGAAACCAAAAACTACTTCTTTTTTCAAATATTCACAATTTTCATGATCAAACGTCCCCGAAGAATTTGGAGGAACAGTGAAGGGGCTAACCTGGGAATAGTCATTCGAAAAACAAGCTTTTCATATTCATCTAAAAAAGTAGGCCACTCCATATCATCTGTGTTGAATTTCATTTTTCACCAAAGACCCAAAAAGAGGATAAATTGAAGAAAATTTCAACTTCAAACAAAAACTTCAAATCCCCCTTTTCCAGAAATGAGAAATTTCTTCACTGGAATTGAATTCCCTTCAACACCAGAGTCAAAAAACAAGATCAAAAGGAAGAAAATGGAGGTGGGCTCAGTTTCAAACAAACAATTTCTTCACTGAAACAGCTCTATTCCACCAGTAACTGTTAGAATTTCCTTCAGCTCCAGAGACGAAAAAAAGGATAAAAATGAAGAAATTAAAGAAGGATTCAGCTTCAAAGCAAACAATTTGAGAACCCCTTTTCAGAAAATGAGAAAATTTCTTCAGTGAAACAGCTCAATTCCACCATTAACGACCTTGAAAAATCCTTCTACTTCGCTCTCTCTAAAGAGTAAAAATGGCGTTTTTTGGTTTTGAGTATTTTTTTGTTCATTTTCCTTCTTTGTACATACACACCTATTTATATGGAGTATTATTTATTTTTTTGCTAATTATTTGACTTATTTTTTTTTTTGTATTTTATTTTTATTTTAAAGAATTAGTTGACTATGGAAAAAAATATATTATATTTGACATTTTGATTAATTATTTTTATATTTCAGGGTCTTAACTCTAGCAAAAGGTGTGTATAAGTGAGTATGTCACATGCCATGCCTACTCTTGTTTTTTCTTTTTTAAATAATAATAATTGTGGTGTTCGAATTAATTTATGCGCACCTTAATTAATTTCACGAAATTTTTATCACCTTCTAGCAATATTAGGTACCAGACTACCAGGTAACTAACTCTATACTAGCCTTTCAAATGAGGGAAAAAATCACATAGTATTATTTATCTTTAAAATTTAAATCCGGAACCTAATAATCCTCTTCACTATTAGGCCACACCATTGAAGTTACGACTAATCTTGTTTTACCTACCTTTACTTAATTATACATAAATTTTATTTCAAAAGAATTAGAAATTTCATAGTCGAATTCACAGCAACACATGGTTAGTTCAACCCTCTACTATTCAAATGAAGACAAATAAAATGAAACAAAGAGAGTTATAAAGTAAAAGACAATTATTGACTAAGATTATGACATTAGCACGTCAACATGAACCAGGGCAAAGATAGTTTTTCAGTTTTTAGATTTGATAGAACTTGATGAAATTTAAGTTCACGCCACAAAGTTTCATATTTGAGAATCAAATGCATTTTAACATAAACGACAATTCTATGCATGAGATTTGAACATGAAAACTCATGTCAGAAATGATTTTGTTATTTGAAGGTCATAAATAATGGATAATTGTTTTATAATTAATTAATATATACCGAGTATAATTTTCTGTAACAAATACGAATATAATTATTTGGTTTAAGGTGTACTCACTACATACTTATCTAATATAATAACTAATTATTTTCTATTGTATGCATACATAGATGCTAATTCATGCTATGATAGTATGATTCATGCTGTTACTGCATCACTGACTTGTTTAGACAGTCTGAATTCATTTCACTGACTAATAAATTACTAAAAAAACATGACATTAATTAATTAGGTGTTTGGTGGACATATCATGGTGTGTGATTTTTGCATGTCCCATAACATTAGTACTATTATTTTACGAATTTAAATTCTCTACATTGATAATGCAAAAAACTACGGTTATATCAGATAATTACATATAATACTATTTAAAAGTGAATTCAGAATTTGAAAATAAAATAGAAATCACTATCTTCGACAATTAACAAATCATTATCACAATATATAATTTAAATTCTTAGCTTCTTTTATATACTAGTATTATATAGTATTTTAAAAACATCGAGAGAGAACACATTCATGCCGCTTGATAAACCAAAATGTCAACAATATAATAGTATTGTTTATATAATTTATAGAATTATTAAATTTAATTTTGTCATGGAATACAACTACACGAGCATTACTTCAAACATTTACGTGCAATCACGTTTTTTCTCAAGCTCAAATTATTAAATTAAAAATCCAAATCCAATCATAATAACTATGTCGGTTATCTTAAGTTTGCGCGGCTTTGAACTAATCGATTTGATTATTTTGAATTTTTCGGTATGAGACTATAAATTCATGAATTTGTCCTTCTTCTAAAATATTTACGTCAAATTGCCTTAGTAATTTCTCATCCCCCCACAATCATCCAGATAAAATGTTCATTCAAGTAATGACCATTATCGAGAAAAAGTTTATCTATATATATAGTTAGCTAATGAATTTAGTATCATGTAAATGAATTTATGTTTAATCTATAGCAATAAATATAAAGTTGAAAAATTTGGATTTACGTATATAGATATAAGTTCCAAATTCAAGATCCAATCCAAAATTTGAAATGTTTAATTGTTGAATTTTGAATTTAATTTGTAATTCAAAATTCAAATAAAAAATCATTTTAAAAAAGTTATATGGCCATTTTTTACGAACGAACACTAGCTATTTATTACATATATGTAGTTATAAAAGAAGATATATAAGCAAGTGCTCAAATTTTCTAACTTTAAAATATAAGACTATTTTTTTAAAAATAAAATAAAATTATACTCCTAAGCAACTTTACATTTTTAAATTCAAACTTTGAAAAATAAAAATAAAAAAAATAACAAAAATATTCAAACTTTGAAAAACTTTCATGACAACCCGACAACAACAATTAAAAAGTTGTTGCGGCTGTTCACTTTCCCGCTTTACTTAAAAGATCTGGCGGGAAATGATGTGGCATTGTTGTTCACTCGATAATCATAAAAATATTGTGATAGAGTGATAAATATTTTTTCATATTTAATTAGAAGTATCAGATTCAAACTTTAGGTATGTCGTTCCATCTATTACATAGTGTTTTATTTCCAAAGTGAAATTTTCAAATATGAATTCAAATTAGTTATGCCCTAAATTGCCTATCGAAAATCAAATGGGAAACTAAAAAAAGGGAAGTGAGGTGACATTGTTGTTTACTCGATAATCACCAAAAGTTGTAGCAAAGTGATAAGTACTCTTCCATTATTGAGTGGAAATATCATACTCAAATCTTGAGTATGAAATCGTTCTTGATAGTAAACACTTTATCTTGAAAACGAAATTTTCCGATTTGAGATACCCAAAAAAGGGAAGTGAGGTGGCATGGGTAGCATTGTAAAAAGATGTTTTTTCATCCACATAAAATTATGACATGGATTTTTAAAACTTTTTTTGTTGCTTGTGGATAGCAAAATAGAATTTTGAAAAGGCAAAAGAAAAAACATCCACAATTATAATGGCTTTTATAAGAAACCAAAGGGTAAGAAGAATATAAGTTTACAATTTGTGGTTTATGTGGATACTTGACACGTGGATGCCAGCTCAGATTCCATGTTATTTTAAATGATTTTTATATTCCTTAATTGAAATGTATAAAACATGTGGATGCTAGCCATGTTTTTTTCCTTCTAATTTATATATTAAATATTCTAGTTGTGGAATTAATAATAATATTTTTGTTAGGATAAATTGCCTACATTTTATTTTTATTTGGTGTTTGATACCTAATTTAATTGCACAAGGGAAAATCAATTTTGAGAATAAATATTTTCTATTAAAGGTAATTTTATTTTTATGAATTGAATTTGAAATTTCTAATTAAGAAATTTTAAAAATATTTATTATTTCATAACAATATTTATAAGTGACTAGAAAAATTAATATTTTTATCATACAATTATGATTGGTGAATTTTAAATATGATAAAAAGTCCAATCTACCCTTCAAGGTGACCTAAGGACTTTCATGTTGGAGATCTAATCCCTTGCCATCGAAAGTAAGGAGTTTGCCTTCTAGATCGAGCTTGTCGCACGCTTGCATAGTGTAGATTATCTTTCCTGTGTGATTTGTGGCATAAGAGCGAATTTGTTTTCCTATTTAGAATTTTTTAGTCGATCAACTCCTGACACTCAATTTATTGCCTTGATCGAACTATCTTTTTAACTTTTCTATATTTTATGCCGTTTGAATCGCATTTAAATTTTTTATCTTTAAATACTTCTTTTATCTTAAAATTTGATTAGATTCTTCAAATATTTTTAAATTTAAAAATTATCTCAAATCCGTTTGACATAATATATATTTACTTGGTCTCATTTGACATTTGAGTGTACACGAATAGGTATATAAACTTATATAAAATTGAATAACTTGGTCTCATTTGATACATGCATTATATAGACATACAGGTTCTACTTGACACAATGACACTTCAATGATAATTCACATCTTATACTTAGTTAAAGTTGAGTAACTTTTTTCGTAACGAAAAATAGCTTAGTGATTTAAGCATAGTAAAGTGAAAAACACTATGAAATTAACCCCTAGTATTAGGCTTTTGATCTTTGCCCAAATTTCACTCAGCTTAATCCTTGTCGCTGTGAATTTCAACAATTCATAACCGGTTCTCAAGCTTTGGAATGCTAGCATCAATGGAGGAACTCACATGTGAGGGAGAAGTCAATACAGGGAAAAGAGAAGAGAGAAAACTGTATTTCTGAATAAGACTTTGCAAATGATTACATACATGTACATGTGTATTTATAGCACCTAACAAGTTCCTGACTAACTGAATAACAAACTGACAGTTCTAACAAGCTACAACTAACCAATCAATCTGAATTAACATGACTAACTATACTAGCTGCATACGTATAAATACATTCTCAATACCCCCCTCAAGTGGGATGGGAGGCTTCACAACCAACTTGGACATTATGCAAAATTGTCGAACACCAGTGAGAGCTTTGGTGAGGAGGTCAGCCAACTGGTCTGTGGTAACAACATGATGTAGAGAAATAAGGCCATCTTGTAGTTTGTCTCGAACAAAATGACAATCGACTTCGATCTGTTTAGTCCTTTCATGAAAGACAAGATTTCTTGCAATGTGAATGGCAGATTGATTGTCACAATATACTGCAACAGGTTTGGAGGAAGGAACATCTAATTCTCGTAAAAGTCTATCCACCCAAACAAGTTCACCAACCACCTTCTTTAACGACCTGTATGCTGCCTCTGCTGAAGATAAGGAAATAGTTTCTTGTTTCTTAGACTTCCAGCTGATAGGTGTTTTCCCCAAAAGTACAATGTAACCAGAGACAGACCTTTTAAAATCAGGACAACTTTCCCAGTCCGAATCACAATAGGCATGAACTGAGTAGTTTGGGGCTGAAGACATAAAGATGCCTAAGGTTGGATCATTCTTAAGGTATCTGAGTAAGTGATAAGCTGCTTGCAGGTGGGGTTCTCTGGGATCCTGCATGAACTGACTTAAGTGTTGGACACCATAAGCTATATCTAATCTGGTGTTGACAAGGAAATTCAACTTGCCTACTAGTTTTCTATAGAATGTAGGATCAAACAGAACAGTGCCTTCTTTGGCTTTCAGTTTAACATTTGGATCAAGTGGAGAAGAAAAGCTGGAGTACCGGAGACAACCATATTCCTTGAGTAAATCTAAGACAAACTTCCTTTGGGACATTATGACACCTCCTTCTCCATACAATATCTCCAGGCACAAAAAATAATGAAGTTTACCAAGATCCTTAATTTTGAAGGTGTCATGAAGGAACTGCTTGAGTTGAATAATTTCTGATGGATTTGTCCCAATGATGATCACATCATCTACATATACTGCCACAAAAATAGAAGAATGATTGGAGTTCTTCAGAAATAAGGAATAGTCACTCATGGAGTGGGTGTAACCCTTCGAAAATAGAGCCTCTGACAGCTTCTCATACCACTGTCTGCTGGCCTGTTTCAAGCCATAAAGTGACTTGTTCAATTTACATACTGCAGTGGAACCAGTTACCTCAAGACCAGGGGGCAAGGAAGCCTGCTAGTCGTAGGAACAACTTGAAGTCGTGTCTTGAAGGCTTGCCCCTGACCCCCAACCTAGAAACAACACTAAGACGTTCTGTTTCCATTTTTTTTGGTTAAAAGCATCACATAGTATAGTTATAATATCCAATCCGCAGTTACGGAGTCCGTCTTCTGTTCCTAACTCCTCCCAGGGTAGTTCTCAATGTTTGGCACTTTCCATACTTCATGGGTGCAACATCAAAAAATTCACTCATGATCAAGTTCATTTTTAATTAATTAACGGCTAAGCGATTTCATAACCTGAACTTTACTTAACTAGTTGGCTATACTTCGTAACCTTAACCTCCCTTTCTTTGTAGTTTTCTAGTTCGACTAAGTGACTTCGTAACCTCAACTTACTTTTTTTCCTACTGTAGGCTAGCATAGGCCTTCGCCACTTCAAAGGAGCGAAGTAATACTATTTTCATAAAATCAAGTATGCAGAGTGTGAAGAAAATCCAATTAGTTAATCTGATTCTTCAAATGGCTGAACGTCATCAGGTATGAAATCTCCTGAACTCTTCTCTATATTACTAATGATTAAACTCTGCTGTTACTGGTTTTGAGTCTACGTATATTGTTGCTCGTAACATGTTTGCTCAATTGCCTATGCGTGAATGATTTTTGTACTGTAATTATGGTTGAAACGTGTCTGTTGTGATCAAATGATGTGCGACGATTAAGGACATGTCTACTACAAAGCTATGTTGCTTGGATTCTTCAAAAATGTCGACGGATGTGTGTTAGATCCTTCAAAAGTAGTGCGTTTTTGGAGGATCCAAATCAAATGGCGGCATCATTTTTGGAGAGTCCAAGCAACATAGCTATGAAGAAACAAGGTTTCTTGACCTATAGAAAAGCCAAAAATGTAAATACACAAGAAACAATAAATAATTTTCCTGAACGTCCTTAAAATGTTTTTAGTTATGCTTCTCAAGATATCTACAGAACTTTAGTAGGATAGATAATCGATTGATATTTTCTGGTTAATGGTCAAGAATGTGATCTGTTTGTGCAAAATATAATCAGATTTCTATGTTTCATAGTATATTCGGACATATTCATACAACTCTACATGCACATACAGATAGTTGGTACGTACTTCTAACTATGTCCTAATAAAAAGAGAAAATTGTTTGTCTTCTTGAAATAATTCTTTCTTTATCCTTTCTATACTAGAAAAAAACCACCTTTGTTGATTGAGCCTAATAACAAATAAACATGAAAGAATTCGACGACAACAATTACTAAGGAAAGTTGAGACCAGGACATGAGAAATCACACAACTAAAAAGCATGAGAACTCACACGACTAAAAAGCAAATAAAAAAAAGGAACCATGGTGAGTCGTGCATTTTCTAGCAACAAACAGCCAATTCAAAAAAAAAAAAAAAAGTAAATGGCCAAACGGCCGTTTGGACGAGTCGTCAGAAAAAATAGTTTGTCACTGGAATTCAAGCGATTTGTCCATTTTGGTATTTCTCCAAAAGGATTGTCCGTTTTGGCATTTTCTCTCCAAAATGTGGCCTTTTTGGCTACGGACTCCAAAACTATAGCTTATTTGAAGCTAAATAACATTGCTAACATTTGTTACACATGGATGATTTGCCAGAGAAGTTTCTTACAAGAGCATGGTCAACATGCAAGAAGTTGAATCTTGATCTTCTTTAACCTCCCAACATCTTTCATGTCAATTCTTCCTTTAGGAGATTCAACACAACAATCCATTGCCACTTTCATGATGGATACCACACAATCTATCTTTCTCATTAAGTGATTATCATGTGGCGTTATTAAGTTGGCATCGATAACTTCCATTATTGCCTGTGGGAGTGAATTGCTCACCCATTGCTTCAAGCTAAAATCTCCATCAAACATTTCATCACTAGGCTTTGTGCGTGTAAATATTTCCATCAACATGATGCCATAACTATAAACATCACATTTTGTTGACACCAATCCCTCCAATCCATACTCTACAATCAGCCAATTTTTAAAGTCAGCATTTGAGAGAAGTATTCAAAAGAAATTAGTTAAGAGAGTACATACCTGGTGCAATATAGCCCAATGTTGCTAGAGTTTTAGTGTATGAAGCACTCTCATCATCAGAAAGCAGTTTTGAAATGCCAAAATCACTTATGTGGGCAACCATATCCTCATCCAACAAGATGTTACTAGGCTTCAAATCACAGTGAATCACGGGCAATGAGCAGCCATGGTGGAGATACTCCAACGCACATGCCACATCTATCACTATACTTAGTCGATGGTTAATGTTTAAGGAGTAGTTGTGCGAATATAACCACTTATCGAGGCTCCCATTGGACATGTACTCAAGTACCAAAGCCTTAAATTCAAGGTTGGAACAACTAGTTATGACTTTGGTGAGATTCCTATGACGGAGGTTGCGCAAAACTTGACATTCTGTATCAAAGCTCTTAAATGCCGCTTGCAATTGCAGATTGAAAACTTTAGCTGCAATAGGAGTCCCATCTCTGAGGATTCCTTTGTAAACAGAGCCGAAACTCCCAGAACCAACCAAATTACTCTCACTGAGTGAATCAGTTGCTCGGAGCAATTCATAGTATGAAATTCTTTCTCTGGTTGAGACGACAAAGGATGAGTCAACTGCTTGCTTTCTTTTACCTTTTATATACCTTATCCATACAAGCAGAAAGACGATAGGAATTAATACAACTAGTATTCCAGCTAGTAGAAATAGAAGTACCTTTTTCCTCTTGGATCTATGTTTTGAAGTACTATTGTTGCAATGCGGAACACGAAATCTTATAGAACCACACAATGCTTCATTGGACATGAATGACCGACTGGAGAGGTTCTTGAAAGGACCGCCAGTGGGGATTTCACCAACCAACTTGTTGAATGAAACGTTGAAATACTTGAGATTTTGTAGCTTCTCCATAGACTTGGGAATTAATCCTGAGACATTGTTCTGAGAAAGGTCTAGAAATTCCAAAGCTGACATGCTGGTCATTGAGCCAGGTATTGATCCTTGCAACTTGTTGTCTCTCAAAGAAAGGTGTATTAGATTCTGCAAGCCACCAATTTCTCCGGGTATGCCATTTGAGAGTGCATTCATTGATAGATCCATATATATGACAGCCTTTAGGTTTCCAATCTCCAGAGGTAATGAGCCACCCAAGTTGTTTGAGGATAAGTCTAGCCTCAAGAGATTTTTGAGGTTCCCTAAACCTGCTGGTATGTTCGAATACAATTTGTTGGAACCTAGAAATATCTCTTGAAGGAAAGTTAAGTTCCCCAAACAATTAGGAATAGATCCTGAAAGTTTATTTTGAGTCAAGTGTAAATAGCCTAAGTTCTGCAATTTACATAGATCTTCTCCAATAGATCCAGAAAGTTTGTTTTGACTCAACTTAAAGCGCTGAAGGAATCTCAAATTTCTAATTGTTGCGGGAATCGATCCAGTTATGCCATTTCCAGAAAGGTCGAGGTCTACTAAGCTGCTTAAGTTCCCAATTCCTTTAGGAATTTCCCCTTTAATTCCACATTCAAAAGCTCTAAACCATAGAGGAGAAGCACTGGAAAGGTTTCCTATAGAAACTGGAATCACTCCATTCAGAGGGTTCAAAGATAAAGAAAGAAATTCTAAATCTCTACAATTTGATAAGGAAGTCAAGAAGCTTAACTTAGTGTCACTTATTAAATAGTTTCCCCCCAAGAATAGGTACTTGAGTTGAGTCAAATATTCAAGAGAGGTTGGAATCATACCGGTGAGTCTGTTTACAGCAAGGTCTAGATGAGTGAGTTTGGAACAATTGAAGAGAGAATGAGGTATAGTCCCAAAAAGATTTAAACGACCTAGATAAAGAACTTCAATGTTGGGTAACGTAGAACCCATGTTTAATGGTAGGGTTCCTGTCAGATTATTGGAAGTAAGTTGAATTGTTTCTATCCCTGATATGTTGAAGATCTCTATTGGAAGTGAACCAGTAAACTTGTTGAAACCCAACCCCATTTCAGCCAAGTCAATGAGATTGCTTACCTCTTTCGGTATTTCACCTGTCAATGTATGTATGGAGATATAATTAAGCAACAACGTGTAATGATTTTAAACTTTGTTAGTTCACTTGTAGCAAGATAGCTGCAATAACTTACCTGTAAGCATATTTTCATTAAGAAGTAGATACTGCAATTTGGTCAAGTTGCCAACCTCCCCTGGCAAGGGCCCAAGGAGATTGTTGTCATCCAATGAGAGAAACTGTAGTGACGAGATATTGAATATGGAGATTGGGATACAATCGGTAATCTGGTTTGCCATAAGATTTATGGACACCAAATTATCAAGATTCCCGATTTCTTGTGGAATTCTCCCTGCAAAAGAAAAATTATGTGATTGAAATTTTTCAGGAAGTAGTTAGTTAGAAGAAAAATAACCACAAGCTAGTATTCAATGCCAAACCTTCAAAATGGTTATTTTCGAGAGACAAATCCTGCAAATTACTTAAATGTCCAATTTCACTATGTATGGGTCCATCAAACTTGTTATCAGATAAAACAAAGGTTTGAAGTTTTGAACAGTTTGCCAAGCTTAGAGGCATATGACCGTGTAGCTCGTTGAAACCTAGATAAAGCACTTTCAGCATTGGAAGTCGATCACACATATCAGTAGGAAGATCTCCTGATAAGGTATTATATGAAAATCCAATGACTTTAATTCCGAAAATGTTGAAGATCGAGAATGGTATAGAACCTATAAGTTGATTAGCTTGTATTGCCAAAACTTTTAGGTTTTGAAGTTCTCCAATCTCTTTGGGGATGTTTCCTTCAAGGTAATTGACAGAAAGTTCTAAAGTCATCAACCTTGTGGCATTTGAGAGAGACAGAGGGATAGAACCTATAAGATTGTTACCAGATATTCGTAAAACCCTTAGATTTTGAAGATTTCCAATTTCTTTTGGCATTTGGCCCCCTAAGGAGGTGTATGTCAAATCCAAAGTTTGAAGCGTAGAGATATTAGAAATTGAAGAGGGAATGGAACCACTAAAACTATTATTCCTTATATTCAGAACTTGAAGTTGGTGTAAGACCCCGAACCATGAAGGAACCTCCCCATTGAAGTTGTTAAAACCAAGCATAACAAACCTTAACCGACGTAGACGTGCCATTTCTTGAGGCAAATTTCCATAGAAATTGTTGCCACTCAAGTCAAGAGAAACAAGAAATGTGAGATTCCCGAAATCAGGAGGAATTTTGCCTGTAAGAGCCATGTTGGAAATATTCAGCATCGTCACTCGATGGTGGGAAGAACAAGTAATGCCAACCCAATAGCAGACATAAGTAGTTGGAGACCAACTTTCATCCAACAAGTGAAAGGGGTCAGAAATGATTTGGGATTTTAAAGAAAGAAGAGCTAATTGATCATTGGTAATATTGGTGTGAGTCATGGCTATACTAGCCACAACCAAGTGAAACAAGAAGAAAAAAGTGTTGGTGGCTTTCTCCATTTTAGTACTTTACAAATTAGAAAGAACTTGGCATGGCTAGTTACAATGGGGCTATGAGACTTTAAATAGCAGTGATCAGTTGATCTCCATTTTGGTCTTCATTGTCTTTTTCTCCATTTTCCTCTAAGGGGACCGTGTGACTTGACTAATGTTAGTAACGTTTTGTTGATCAAATCAAAATTTTCTTCAGCAAATAACAGCCTGGAATAGTAGTTAGTAGTATTAATCATCTTTTACATTTTTTTGTGATGATTTTGAAGTAAATATTCTAAATATAGTCCATAGATATTTAGTTTCATAACGAAGAGGGATTTTGAAAAGAAAAGGGTATATTAAGGATTTTGAATGTTTACAAGGCTAATTATACACAATTTTACAAAGAACTGTAGAATGAGTTATGTGTGTTGAGTATCGGACGCAGGGGTGGAGCTAAATGAGTGAAAGGGGTTTAGGCCATTTCTTTTATGTATATAAGTTCCCTTGGTCCACAATAATAATGTTTGCTTATATATGAAACATCTTTTCACGTAGTTCTGGTCTCTTTTCAATTGCTTTACAAGTGCCCCATTTTTAGTTTCCTTTTATCTAATATGAAACCAAATGGTCGAGGATGAGTCCTTATTAATGATTTGGGCCCTGAATTCAATGAGAATTAGGATGCGTCGAAGAGTTTTTTCAGCACACTTCAATTTTCCACCCTAACTCAACTCTCGGGTACCGATTCTCATCACTAATGCTAGATCCAACTCCTGATTCTCGATTCGAGACCCGACTCCCAACCTCAATTTGAGACCCAACTTTTGGGTTGGGTTGGGTTGGTTTCGAATCCTAGTTTGGGTGTCGGGTCCTGGGTCAAGATTCGAGGTTAGATTTTGGGATTGGGTTTTGAAATTGTGTTTCGAATTGAGAGTCAAGGTCGGGTCCCAAGTTAGGTGTTGGGTTTTAGGTCCCAGATTGATCTTCGTAGTCGGGAGTTGGGGTTGGATGTAGGGGTCAAATCCTGATTCGAAAGGCGGGTCCCAATTTGAAAGTCGAATTCCGGGTTGGGTGTTGGGGTCGAGTTGTTATTTGGAAGTCAGATTCGGTAGTCGAGGTCGAATCCTGGATCATTTATTGTGTCGGGGTCAGATCCCGATTTGGAACTCCTATCTCGAGTTGGGTGTCAAGGTCGGGTACATGATCAGGAATCGGGTCCTAGGTCGGGATTCTAAATTGGGTCTCGATTTGGAAGTCGTATCCTGGGTCCGGAGTCAAGGTCGAGGTTGGGTCTTGGTTCGAGTGTCGAAGTTGGGTCCTGGGTCCTAGATCTGGTGTCGAGGTTGGGTCCTAGTTCAAAAGTCGGATCCGCATCAAGAGTCGAGGTCGGGTCTCGATTTGGAAGTTGGGTGTTGGGGTTGGGTCATGCGTCGGGTGTCTGGGCCAAGTCTTGGGTTGGGTCTTGAGGTCCAATCCCCGGATTGATCATCGGGGTCGTGTTTTAATTCGGGTGTTGGGGTTGAGGTCAGGTCACATGTTGGGTATTGGGTTCGGATCCCGAATCGGTCATTGAGGTCGTGTGTTGGTTCAGGTTGTCAGGTTCGGATCTTTGGGTTAGAAATTAATCTCCTAAAAAGTATTTTCTAGTCTCTAAGCTCTAACCAATAATAAAAGATATTTTTTGAAAAATATTTTTCATTTACCAACCAAATACTAAAAAATATTTTTCACTTACTAACCAAACATGAGAAAATAAGTCAGAAATCAACTTGTTTTCTGAAAAAAACATTTTCCTTTCAAACACATTCATTGATTGTCTCATTATACATTTGAATAAACAACAATACAAATTCATATGTCAAAAAGATAAGGCACTCGTAAAACACATTGGCTCCAAATGCATGTGTATTTCGTTTCTGGAATAATGTGACCTTCCAAACATAACACGTTGCACCCTCTAAGCATATTTTCAGTTTACACCTTAAATCATTTCCACAACAGTATAATATTATTCTATACCCCAGTATATAATATTATTCACTTTAGTGTAAATACCGTATCAACCTTGTATACAAGCGTGTATATATAATATTTTTTTTTTTTTGAAACTGGTAAGGTTGTATTCTTCAGCATTAAGGGCATGCTGGCTACCACCAAAAAGTGTCAATTACAAACTTCCTATCAAATCTACAATCTGGTCTGTATCTACTATACACAACTGTTTACACCAAAAAGTAGAGATACTATACAATTCCATTTGACCTTGTGTATGGAATTGGATCTATTGTCGAAACATCTACTGTTCCTTTCCTTCCAAACTGACCACCATATACATGATGGTATTAACCTCCACCATCTCTTCTGGCTCTTGGTGCCTCCTCTCCTTACCCAGCTCTTCAACACGTTTGATGTACGTTCTGGCATTGTCCAATTCAGATTTGAGATGCTAAGGAACAAATTCCAGATTTGAGCAGTGTAATTACAGTGCAAGAAGAGGTGGCTGTTAGTTTCACTTGTCACTTGTATATATAATATTATTCACTTTATTGCATATGTGATGTTTAATCAACGCGTGCCAATGTATGTCATATGCTATCAGTACTTCAAACACAACACATTTGCTCATCTATTTGGGGTTTCTGCATATTTGTATTAAATATTGAGTGAGTAGAAGAATTAAATTGAGAGCAAATTTTAATAATTAAGACAAAAATATATCCATGTAGGATAATAAGAGTGGAAACACGTGATTTCACAGTCCAAGGAAAAATGGCGGTACACAGATTCTCGAGGTCCAAGCTTTCCATCTAGCCAATATCCTGTTGGATCAAGGACCGTCATGATTATTAAAATCTTGACCTAGACCTCAAATAGGTAACTGGGGTGAGTGAAACCTCATAAATATCAGGTGCCTACATAAATAGAGTCAAAAGATATATGAGTTTCTTCGGCTTGAGTTGGGTTAGAAGTACGGAATGTATATGCACCATTACTGTCTTCAAATAAAGTCTTCTCTAGCACCATGAATAACGCATAGCAAAGCAACTCCCAATACACTGACAACTCCCTCCCAGAGCCCTATTCTGGTTACAAAGTGCGGGTAGCCAACAAGTAAGTTAGCAAACTGGTGAATCAATAGGCTTTACCAAGTACATTAGCAAACTGGTGAATCAATAGGCTTTACCAAGTACATTAGCAAACTGGTGAATCAATAGGCTTTACTCCTGCCTTCACTTCCGGGAGGAGTTCTATCATCCATGGTGAAGATCTGAATCCTTCATTCAGGAGATTCGACACATCAGTTGAATCTAATCAAGATCCTAACAATATGAGATTTATTAAAAGATTTGGGCCAATACCTTTCAACAAAAGAAAAAGTCCCTCCTTGTCTACACTCTGTACTTGCGCGGTGTGCAGCCCCCTACTCAAGCTGAAAACAATACAAGTTTCCTAATTTTCGAACATTGTCAGGCACATTACTCTAAATAAATGTAGCTTAGTTCTTAACATTTATAAGTTTTAAGTTCAGAAATAACAAAAAGCCACCTTTGCTTATTAAGCCCAAAACGAAACGAACATGAAAGAATTCAACAACTTGGGAAATTTGAGTAAAGAAACCAGCAAAGACAAAACCTAAAAGAGTAGTAGAGGAAGATTCAAGATGAAATCACTAATGAAAGTTGAGACCTGGACAACAATTGTTAAGAGCAATTCAGAAAGCAATCGAATAATAGTGAAATTGACTTGAGAGATGAAGAAACCAAAAGAGTACCACTTGGATGAAATTCTGGACATAGGACAAGTTATTGAAACTAAAAGAGTACCACTTGAAGCTATTATGTTATGAATTAAAGACACAAAACTAGCCTATTTGAAGCGAAATATCATGATGGTTGATGTATAAGGAGTAGTTGTGCGAATATAACCACTTATCGAGGCTCCCATTGGACATGTACTCTAGTACCAAAGCCTTAAATTCAAGGTTTGAACAACTAGTGATGACTTTGGTGAGATTCCTATGACGGAGGTTGCGCAAAAATTGGCATTTTGTATCAAAACTCCTAAATGCCGCTTGTAATTGCAGATTGAAAACTTTAGCTGCAATAGAAGTCCCTTCTCTGAGGATTCCTTTGTAAACAGAGCCGAAACTCCCAGAACCAATCAAATTACTCTCACTGAGTGAATCAGTTGCTCGGAGCAATTCATAGTATGAAATTCTTCCTCTTGTTGAGACGACATACGATGAATCGACTGCTTGCTTTCTTTTACCTCTTATACACCTTATCCATACAATATAATCACAAAGGCGATGGAGACTAATACAAGTGCAACTCCAGCTGGTAGAATTAGAGCAAGTAGTTTTTTCATCTTGGATAGATACTTTGAAGTACTAGTGTGGCATGGGGGAACAGGAATCTTGGAGAACCACACAATGCTTCATTGGATATGAAAGACTGACCGGAGAGGTTCTTGAATGGACCGCTCGAGGGGATTTCACCAACTAACTTATTGAAATACTTGAGATTTTGAAGCTTCTCCAAAGACGTGGGAATTAATCCTGAAACATTGTTATGAGAAAGGTCTAGAAATTCCAAAGATGTCACGCTGCTCATTGAGCTAGGTATTGATCCTTGCAATTTATTGTCTCTCAAAGAAAGGTATATCAGATTTTGCAAGCTACCAATTTCTTTAGGAATGCCATTTGAGAGTTTATTCGTTGATAGATCCATATGTATCATGGCTTTTAGATTTCCAATTTCCGAGCCACTCAAGTTGTTTGAGGATAAGTCTAACTTCAAGAGATTTTTGAGGTTCCCTAAGCTTGCTGGTATGCTTGAATGCAATTTGTTGGAACCCAAAAATATCGTTCACTCGTAGCAAGAGTACATACCTGTAAGCATATTTTCACTAAGAAGTAGATACTGCAATTTGGTCAAGTTGACAAGGGTCCAAAGAGATTGTTTTCAGCCAATGCCAATGACTTCAGTGTTTTCATTGAAGTCTATGGTGGCGTGACACCCCTTGGGCCTTGATAGATTTGCCACTTAAGAGTGGATTTCCTGTAAAATTTATGAGTCCATCCGAATTCAATAGCTTTAGCTTTGACTTTATATGTGCAATTAAAACTTTATCAATGAAGTATAAATAAAAGTCTCCATGTGAAGTCATTAATTCAAGGGATAAGGGTCTAAAAAATACCCCAACTTTGGTCGGATTTGCTGTTGCGATACTAAACTTTCATGAGGACCTATTACCTCCCTAGACTATTTAATACCGTATTTTTTACCCCCTGAACTATTTAATAGTGTATTTTAAAGGTATATATGTGCCCACGTGGACACATTACTATTTATAATTTTGTATTATTTTTTATGTCCACGTGGGCAAATATATATGTTTAAAATACAGTATTAAATAGTCTAGGGAGGTAATAGGTCCTCGTGAAAGTTTAGTATCGCAACAGCAAATCCGACCAAAGTTGGGGTATTTTTCAGACCCTTATCCCT